GAAAGTCAGGGCAGACTTCTTGAAGGAGCTGGTGTCTGAGGATGCGTAGAAATTATCCCGGGACAGCGGGGGGAAAGGGGAACTGTGGATAGAATGTGCGAGGTCCCCAGGCCACAGATGGAGACAAATTTGAGGAGCCGTACTTGGAGCCTGGGCTGCGAGAGATGGGGCTGGAGAGCTCCACAGGGGCAGGGCACACTGGCTGGCAGAAACACCAGGCTGAGCCGGACATTTGCTCCAAGAGCAAAGGGGAGCGACCATGAGGGTTAGGCTGGCAGGTGGTGTGGTCAGATTTTCATTGCCTACATTCAGGGGGCTGTGGTCAGGGTGGATTGGGAGGGACAAGGCTGAAGGCTGAGGGGGTACCAAGAAGGAAGTTGTTCAGCCATCGAGATGGGAGGTGATGGGGGCCTGGCCCCGGGTGGAGTTGGCTGGAGAAGGGCTCGGCTGGAGAGGCGTTTTGGAAGGAACGTTGATGAGATTTGCGATGGACTGGCTGGAGAGGCGGGTGGTGTGTAAAGGAGAACAAGCGCGTGGGCCGCTGGGTGGGGGCTGGCTTGAATGGGGGGTGAGGAGGACGCGGTGGGGGCACAGGTTTGTAGCTGAAGCCCACAAGTGTGTTGGTGAACATCTTGAGTCTTGGGGCCTGTGACACAGACAGGCTGAGGCCGCATTTGTCTTCAGACCTGTCTGCTGCAGAGCCCGGCTCCTCCCACCACCGTCCATGCTGCTACGGGACAGCAGGTGCACCGACTCGGTGTGGGACCACGCCCTGCACTCCCCTCGTGCTGTGACCTGACCCGGCTTCCCCGGACGTCAAACAGGGGAGACTGCTGAGGAAGCTCTCCGGGCCCACTTTGCTTCCACAGCCCGGAGCAGCCATTCTCAGGACAGCGTATGCTCTTGTAATTACTGAAGACCCCAAAGAGCTTTTGAGTGTGGAGTTACAGCTATCGAGTTTCACCAGATGAAATAGCCTGAAAAATGCCCCTCGAAAGATGTCCACATCCTCATCCTCGGAACCTGTGAATAGGTCACCTTACACGGCAAAGGGGTTTGCAGGTGTGATTAAATTAAGAAGTTTGGGATGGGGAGATTTTCCTGGATTATTGTGTGGGTCCAATGTCTTTACAAGGGTCCTTATAAGAGGAATGCAGAAGGGTCAGAGTGAGAGAAGGTGATGCGATGATGGAAGCAGAGAGAGGTGTGACAATAGAAGCTGAGGTCAGAGCATTGCGGCCATAAGCCTGTGGAGCTGGAAATAGCAAGGAACAGACCCTCCCCTGGAGAATCCAGAAGGAACGAAGCTCTGCCGACACCTTGGTCTTGACCCCTGTGAATGTGTTACCTCGCAGAGAAGTCCCTGCTTATCCGCGGGGGATACATTCCAAGACCCCCAGTGGATGCCTGAAACCTTGAATGGTACCGAACCCGATACCATGACAGTGGATCTGCTGACTGAGAGGGCTACTAAGTAACTAATGGGCGGGTGGCGTATACGGTGTGGATACACTGGACAAATGCATGATTCACGTCCCAGGCAGGACAGAGGGGGAAGATGTGAGATTTCAACACACCACTCAGAACAGGGCAAAATTTAAAGCTCATGAATTGCTTATTTCTGGAGTTTTTCATTTAATATTTTCAGACCACAGTTGACTGCAGGCAAGTGAAACCGTGGAAAGTGAAACCGTAGATAAGGGGCACTCCTGTATAGCAAAGACTTGTAGGCGTGATTAATTTAAGGATCTTGAGATGGGGAGATTATCCTGGATTACTCCAGTGTCATCACAAGAGTCCTTATAAGAGGGAGGTGAGAGGGTCAGAGTCAGAAGACGATGATGTGATGATGGGAGCAGGAAGAGAAAAGGTGATGCAGTGGGGGACCGTGAGCTAAGAAATGGGGCAGCTTCTGGAAGCTGAAAAATACAAGGAATGGATTCTCTTCTGGAGCCTCTAGAAGGAAACAGCCCTGCTGACACCCTGGTTTTGGCCCAATGAGCCCCATTTCAGACTTCTGACCCCCAGAACGGTAAGAGAATAATTTGTGTTGTTTTAAGCCCTAAGTTTGCAGTAATTTGTTACAGCAGCCACAGGAAACTAATACATCATGCTACAAATGTGAATTGAGAACTTAAAAAAATCTATTAGTTTGTTTAAAAATAACAATAAATGCATTTCTTGTTAGCATAAGTTTTTTTTTTTAGGAAGATTACATCCCTGAGCTAACATCTGCTGCCAATCCTCCTCCTTTTTTACTGAGGAAGACTGGCCCTGAGCTAACATCCATGCCCATCTTCCTCTACTTTACATGTGGGACGGCTACCACAGCATGGCTTGCCAAGTGGTGCCATGTCGGCACCCGGGATCCGAACCGGGGAACCCCGGGCCGCCGAAGCGGAATGTGCACACTTAACCGCCACGCTACTGGCCAGCCCCAGCATAAAATTTTTTATTTAAAATAACTATATTTTAAAAAACGGTAGTAAGAAAGTGGCATTTTTATTTGTTTGTTTTTTTAGATTTTCGAAATCTTTTCATATCTGGCTCCGTAGAAGACAGCTGGATTCGCATAGCTGCCCCTGCATTCTATCTGTTGTGATATGCTGTTTTGGTTGAAGTGTGGGAAGAAAATTCCACCTCACACAGATATGAAGGTAGAAAAAAGGGGAGCATTGTAATAGCCTTTTTGGATAATAATGGATATTATTCTTTGACATAAACCAAAACACAAAAAGTGGTAGTTTCTCAAAGGTTAGTTACAATGTGGCATCTGAAACCCTGTCAACAACCTTTCCAGACTCTTTGCTGCAAGCAAACCAGTTGGCCTTCTCTTTAAATGGATCTTTCGCCCGTATATGATTCTGGCCTTGCTGACCCTTTGCTGCCCAGAGGGACTGGCAGTTCCCCTGCTGAGGGCCCTAGAAGGCGCTGACAGTAACTTGGCCCTGGCAGCAGCTGGGCCACACAGAGAGTAGAGGTGACAATGGCGTGGGGGTAGCAGAGCAGTTAAGGACAGCGGCTTTGGGCACAGCCAGCTGAGCCCTTTAGAGGGCTGTGGATGACAAGCTGGCACTGCCCCATCCCCTCCCCATAGCCAATGACAACACAATTAAAATAGCTTCTTTCTGGATCTTCCGCTATCTTCTAGCCAGGTTCTGGATAAGCGTGTCAAAGCCAGTCTCTGCTCATCTTTCTGGTCCCGGATTTGCTGCTCCCTTGGGTAATCCAGCCCCGCCCGGGGTTAGGACAATCTCATGCGGGTGCAGGATCTGGCATAACCAACTCTGTGGCAGTCAGTGTCCCCCTCTGTAAGGCGGACGTGGTAGTACCTGTCTTTCAGGGTTGTGGGGATTCTGAGGCGAGGCTTGTAAACCAGTTTTAGCAAGCGCCTGGCGTAGGCGCGCTCGAGTTTGCTGCTATTATAGGAACGCAGGCGGCCTTCCCTGTGCTTCTCTGGCTGGTTCCTGCAGTCCAGCTCAGCCCTCTGTCCCCTCAGCTCCTGCAGCCAGTGCTCGGGGCTGGGCGAGGCTGTCGGAACTGTCTACTCCATGGCTCCATAACAGAGGGATTTTGCTGGAACCCTTGGGGCCCGGAATGGAGGCTATGGGGAAGCCTATGAGGAAGGAAACGTCTTAAACACAAGCGGTCTATCCATTTTCTTCTTCTCTCAGAGCCCAGAGCCGCTGTGGTTGCTTCCAAGAGGATGGGATCTGAGAAGCCAGGGGAGGAGGGAAGCAAGTCAGGGGGTCAGCACACTCGTCCCACGAACTTGAAGCCGGCAGTGGATGCTCTGACCGGGGTTGCCCAGATCCCCCTTCAGGACCATGGCACCCATTCCCCCAACTGCCCAGGCCCTTGCCCAAGGACATGCCCCATTCCCAGCAGCCCACCCCAGCGAGTGGGCGGACAGTGATTGGATGTGTCTCCTTGTCAGGGGACCAAGGTCTGCCTTCCGGGGCTCACTTTGGCACAATTCTGAAGGGCCATCCTGGCATTGGCTGAGGTTTCCATGCAACTGCATGGCTGGCCAGTGTCCCCCCGTCCTCAGGCCTGCCTTCCTGAAAGCATGCTCTAATAACCTGCTCTCAGAGGCGGGGTCTCACAGCTGGCCTCCCAGAATCTGGTCAAGGGGCCTGGACCCTGCTGGGTGGCCCAGGTGAGACGCTCACCCCTCTCGGCCTCAGGACCTCCCCCTGAAGTACTGGAGGTGCTTCTGGTTGGGAAGGGATGTGCACCCAGTGGCCCTATCCTGCCAGCCTCCAGCCATATTTCACATCCTCCTCCTTTGTGGAAACTCCTCACCCCACCTGAGTCAGAGGCTGAGCAGTGTCTGGAGCCCACCCAACTCCCCCACTCCAGCCCTTTCACACCAGGCCAGTTCACTCCAGGAGGTTAAGAGTGATGAGAAAGAGGAAGACAAAAAGTGCCATTTAATAAAGGATAAGAAAACTCTAGAAATGACTTCCAAGCTCCTAGAGTGTACAGGAAGAACAGAATTTGTCCCAGAAAGAGGGGGAGGGCACGGTGGCAGGGGTGTCTGTTATTAGGAAAATAGCTTGTGACCTTTTGCTTGTGAAAGGCAAGGCCCCCACTAAGAGGTTTCTAGAAAAGAGCTGAACTGCTCAGTATAAAGGGTTACAGGAATGCTGTATCCAATGGCCATTTGAATGGGGATTGGGACCCTTGAAGGGAGGAAGTGACAGGCAGCAAATGAAGTCAGCTTGATTCCCATAACCAGGAAGTCCAGGGGTTGATGTTTTCAGATGGAGTCAGATCCAGGGAGCCCAGACCTTGTCCTGGGGTCTGCTCTGTGTCTCTGTGCATCTCTCGACTCTGCCTGCTCCGCCTGGCTTCCCGCTCCAGCCAGGCTCTTCCCAGGTGCAAACAAGAGCCTCGGGTAGCTGAGACTTGCATCCTCCCAGCCTGTCACTCCCAGGGAAGCATATGACTGACTCGGCCTGGGGTCGTGGTATGCTTATGTCTGGATGTCAGTGAGCCGAGGATGCACTTCCGTAATTGGCCCAGCCTTGGGTCACGTGATTCCAGGTGGGTGGGGATTCTTCTGTGATTGACAGCCCCACCACCTGCAGCGGCAAGATAGCGGTTGCCCCCAAGGAAAGGGCACTGAAGGCCAAAAACGTCCACCCCTGGGTCCCTGTGAAAAGGTAGGGTGGTGGGGACGGGGCCAACCCAGCATTATGGAGGCAACCGGAGAGAGGTTCTGTGTGATCTGAGGTCAGGCAACACGAGGCTTACACCTTTCTGCTGCAGGCTGTCTCCTGCTCTGCTCAGCGCTACACTGTGGTCCCCTCACACACCCCAAACCCCCTCAGTACAAGCTACCCTGGCAACAGGTGTATCGGGGCTGTGGGGAGGAGAGGAGGCAGACGGTGTTCGACACAGAGCAATGGCGCAAGAAGAGAGAGAGAATGGGGTGGCAGATTCTCTGAGCAGGAGCTAAGGTGTGAGACGATTGGAGAGGAGGACGGTCTCCTCGAAACCTCACAAGTGTTGGGGCAGGGAGGGACAGAGAGATGAGGATGGAGCCCCCTGCCTTTTTCTCAGGCTCCCCCGGCCCACGGGGGCCGGAGACTTGAGGGACAATGGGCAGAGGGCCGGTTTCCTAAATCCAGCCTTTGCATCTCAAGAGGCACAAAACCCTGGGCCAGCCAGGTGGCGCAGCAGTTAAGTGCGCACATTCCGCTTCTCTGCTGCCCAGGGTTCCCCGGTTGGGATCCCAGTACCGACATGGCACCGCTTGGCAAGCCATGCTGTGGCAGGTGTCCCACATGTAAAGTAGAGGAAGATGAGCAGGGATGTTAGCTCAGGGCCAGTCTTCCTCAGTAAAAAAGGAGGAGGATTGGTAGCAGATGTTAGCTCAGGGATGTAATCTTCCTCCAAAAAAAAAAAAAAAAAAAAGAGGCACAAAACCCTAACTTGCCTGGTGGTGGAATGCCACCCTCAGCTGCAGACTTGGGCTCAGGAGGTCTCTGCGGTTTTGCCCCAAGAGGCAGTTCTGGCCCCTGGCAGAGGGAGGTGGTCAGAGGGGCCAGGGCAGCCCATGGGTCTCCCCTGAATGAGAAAGAGGTGGTCAGAAGGACAGAGTCCCAGACACGAGTCAGACAGTAGACACCCCCTCTCTCCCCAGTGGTCCGCCCAACTGTGCATTCCATGCCCCCTTGGAGAGAACATCCCAGCCAGTCTGATCTGTCCTCCCTCAGGTTCATCTCTTACCAGCCATTAAGGCCTCAACTTCCCCTTTCCCTCCCACCCCTGACCCTCTTCCACCCCTGGGCAGCTGCCTGTCTTCCTGTGGGGACAGGAAGTAGTTGGGGTTTGTGGTAGGCAGCCTCCAAGATGGCCCCCAAGGATTCTCACCCCTTGGTATTCAAGCCCTTGTGCAGTCCTCTCCCACACTGAACAGGGCTGACCCGTGTAACCAACAGGATATTGTGAAAATAACAGAGCATGTCTTCCAAGGCTTGGCTATAAAAGACATTGCAGTGTCTGTCTTCCCCTCTTTCGGATCACTTGCTCTGGGGAAAGCCAGGCGCCATGTTGTGAGGAACCTGAAGAAGCCCCATGGGAAGCCCATGCGGTGAGGAACTGAGGCCTCCAACCAAAAGCCATGGGAGCGAGCCATCCTGCAAGTGGATCTTTCAGCCCCAGTCGAGTTTTCAGACAATGGTAGCCTCAGCCAACATCTCACCTCAATCTCATGAGAGACCCTGAACCAGAACTTTCCAGCTAAGCTTCTCCTAAATTCTTGACCAATAGGCACTGTGTGACTTCATCAGTGCTTATCGGTGTTTTAGGGTAATTTGTTATGCAGCAGTAGATTACTAATGTAGAGTTTCTCAGACTTTAGAGGATCTAGGCGTGGAGGAAGCAGATTCTTTAGCCCTCAGATCCTCAGCCTGTGGCCCTTTGGCCCTGCCAAGAGCAGAAACATCTGTGTCCAGCTCTGCAGACTGGCTGAAGGTGGAGCTGGGCCATCTGCCTCAATGGATGAGAAGGACTTGTGTATGTGTGGGGGGGAGGGGGGGACAAGGGAATGAGGGGTGATGTATTAATTTGCTCAGGCTGCCATAACAAAATGCTGCATATTGGGTGGCTTAAACTAATAGAAACTTATTTTCTTACAGTTCTGGAGGCTGGAAGTCCAAGATCAAGGTGCCAGCAGGTTTAGTTTCTCCCGAGGCCTCTTTCCTTGGCTTGTAGATGGCCGCCCTTTTGCTGCCTCTTCACATGGCTGTCCCTGTGTGCGTGTGCACCCCTGGTGTCTTTGTGTGTCCAAATTTCCTCTTCTCATAAGCACTTTAGTCACATTGGATTAGGGCCCACCCTAACGGCCTCATTTTAACTTAATCACCTCTTTAAAGGCCTTATCTACAAATACAGTTCCTTTCTGAGGCAGTGGGAGTTAGGACATATGAATTTGGTGGGAGGAAACGATTCAGCCCATAACAGGTGACGAGAGCTAAGTTCTGCTGAGCCAAGGGGCTGCAGGCATTGGGGAGGAGCATGAAGGAGATAGAAGTGGGTGTGAGAATAGGACCCATGATCAGAAAAGGAAAGTGAGGCTCAGGGTGGGCTGCCTACCACAGACACATTTCTGGGGAATAGAGGAGACAAGACCCAAACATACAGTGCCTGTTCCCCACCTGAATGGGCACAGAATCCAGTATGAGTCTCTGTGCCCAGAGCTTCATTGGTAGGCCTGGGGCCTTCAAGAGAGTGGAAACTGGAACTTGGGCACCAGCCCAACTCAGCAGAGGGGACCTCTGAGAGGGGGGCAGCCAGGGAAGCAGCTATGGGGGCCAGCCTAGGGCCAAGACCACACCAAACCTGCATCTCCCTCCTGGACCTCTCCTTGCCAGAGCCCCTGGACAAACCATCCCTGCACAGCTTCAGCCTTCACGGCTGAGAAATATCCCTGTGGCCTCAACAACCCTGACCTCTTCACTGCCTGGACTGGCCCAGGGTTTCTCCCCAATATTTTCAACCTAATTGACATTTTTTTAAAAAAGATTTTATTTTTCCTTTTTCTCCCCAAAGCCCCATGGTACATAGTTATATATATATATATCTCTTTTAGTTGTGGGTCCTTCTAGTTGTGGCATGTGGGATGCCACCTCAGCATGGCTTGATGAGAGGTGACATGGCCACGCCCAGGATCTGAACCAGTGAAACCCTGGGCCATTGAAGCAGAGCACGCGAACTTAACCACTTGGCCAAAGGGCCAGCCCCCCAATTGACATTTATACAACTCCTAACCAAATAACAGCAGAATGCACATTCTTTTCCAATGTACATAGAACATTTACTAAGATAGAACATATTCTTGGCCATAAAACAAACCTCAATGAATTTAAAAGGATTGAAGTGAACTTCCACCTTAAGAAATTAAAAAAAGAAGATTAGTGAGACACAAAGTAAGTAGAAGAAAGGCACAAAAATCCGAATGAAGATCAAATAAATGGAAAAAAGGAAAGCAATAAAGAACATCACTGAAACAAAGCTGGTTCTCAGAGAAAATCAACAAAACTGATTAACCTCTAGCCAGATTGACCAGTAGAGAAAGAAAGAAGACACATGACGGAGGTGACATCACTATAGATTCTACAGATATTTAGAGGACATCGAAGGAACATTTTGAACAACTTTATGCCAATAAAATCAACAACTTAGATGAAATGGACAAATTCCTGAAGGGGATGATTACCAAAGCTCATTTAAGAACCAAGAGATAACCTGAATAGCTCTCTATCTATTAAAGACTTTGAATTTGTAGTTAAAAATTTTTCTACAAACAAAACTTCAGGCCCAAATAGCTTGAATGGGCGTGGGAATTCTACCAAACATTTAAGGAAGAAATAATACCAATTCCGTACAAGCTTCCAGAAAATTGAACAGGGATAAATATTTCCCAGTTCATTCTATGAGGCCATTATTTCACTGATACCAAAACCAGACAGCAGTATGATAAGAATATATAAACTAAAATATCACTCATGAATATAGAAACAAAAATTCTTAACAAAATTTTGGCAAATTGAATCCAATAATACATAACAAATTCCATTTTTGTTTATCACGGGATGCCTTTATTTCACTTTCAGCTTTGAAAGATAGTTTTTGCTGGATATAAGATTCTTGGTTGACTTTATTTTTGCTTTCAGCACTTTGCCTTTTAGCCTCCATTATTTCAGCTGTTAGTCTTACTGAGGTTCTCCTGTATGTGATGACTCATTTTTCTCTTGTTGTTTTCAAGAATTTCTCTTTGTCTTTGAACTTTTTTACTACCATGTGTTAGGGTGTGGATCTCTTTGTATTTTTCCTACTTAGAGTCCATTAAGCTCCTTGGATATGCAGATTAATGTTTTCATCAAATTTGGGGAGTTTTCAGCCATTATTTCCTCTTTTTTTTAAAGATTTTATTTTTTCTTTTTCTCAGTACATAGTTGTATATATATTTTAGTTGTGGGTCCTTCTAATTTTGGTACATGGGATGCCACCTCAGCATGGCCTGATGAGCAGTGCCATGTCTGTGCCCAGGATTCGAACCGGTGAAACCTTGGGCTGCCAGAGCGGAGTGTGCGAACTTGACCACTCAGCCACAGAGCTGGCCCCATCAGCCGTTATTTCTTTAAGTAGTTTTCTTCTCCTTTCTCTCACTCCTCTTCTCTGGTGCTCCCATTATGCGTGTGTTGGTGCACTTAATAGTGTCTCACATTTCTCTAAATCTCTGTTCATTTTTCTGCTTTCTTTTCTCTCTCCGTTCTTCAGATTGCATAATCTCAAGTTTGCTGATTCTAAACTGAGGTGGGTGGAGGAAGGAGACAGTGAGCCATGGTTCAAATACTATAGACTCTTGCTGTTCTGAGATTTAGTAGATTTTCTTGAATAAATACGTCTTTGTTTGCTTTATGCCCTTAGGGAAATTTCCAGAGACTTTAACTGGTTGTTTTTTTAAATTATTTTTTTTACCAATTACAGTTGTTTCTCTGGGGAGAGGGGCCACAGAGTTCCTCACACCACTATTCCAGAAACCACCTCTGAATATATAATATATAAAAAGAGTAATATATCACAACCAAGTGGGATTTCTCTTAAGAATGCAAAGTTGCTTCAACATTGGAAAACCAATCACTGTGATTTACCATATTAACAGACTTAAAAATAAAAACTATAACATCATCTCAAGAAATGCAGAAAAACATTCATTTCTGATAAAAACTTTAAGCACACCAGGAATGGAAGGGAACTTCCTTACTTAACAGATAACATGTACGAAAAAACAAAAACAAAAACCCTACAGCTAGCTTCATCTTTATGGGGAAATGAATAAGACAGGCCTGTTTACTCTCACCACTTCTATTCAGCATTGTGTTGGAGGTTCTAGCCAATATAATCAGACAAGAAAAAGAAATAAAAGGCATCCATATTTGAGAGAAAGAAGAAAAACTGCTTTATCTGCAAATAACGTAGACATCTATGTTGAAAATCTGATGGAATTTACAAAAAAAGCCACTAGAACTAATGAGTGAGCATAATAAGGATGCAAAATACAAGACCAATATACAAAAATCAATAATATTACTAGCAAAAAATAATCAGAAGTTAAAATTTTTTAAAATACCATTAACATAAAAATTACAAAAGTATAAAAATACGAAATACTTAGGGATAAATATAACAGAAAGTGTAAAACATTGTACAGAACATTGTTGCAAGAAATTTTAAAAGTTTAAATAAGTGGAGAGGTATACTATGTTCATGGATTGAAAGACTCACTATCATCAAGATGTCAGTTCTCCCTAAATCAGTCTATAGATTTAACATAATCCTAGTCAAAATCCAAGCAGGCTTTTTTGTAGAAATTGACAAGCTGATTCCAAAATTTACATGGCAATGCAAAGGACTTAGAATAGTCAAAAGAACTTTAAAAAAGAAGAACAAAGTTGGAGGACTTAAATACCTAACTTCAACACTTATTATAAAGCTATAGCAATTAAGACAATATGACAGTAGTGTAAAAATAGACAAGCATGAAAGCCCAGAAATAAAACCACACATTTATGGACAGTTAATCTTCGACAAAGGACCTGAGGACCTACAATGGAGAAAAGAAAGTCTCTTCAACAAATGGTACTGGGAAAACTGGACAGCCACATGTAAAAGAATGAAAATTGACCACTCTTTTTCACCATTCACAAAAATAAACTCAAAATGGATCAAAGACCTAAAGATCAGGCCTGAAACAATAAGTCTTCTAGAAGAGAATATAGGCAGTACACTCTTTGACATCAGTTTCAAAAGAATCTTTTCAGACACCATAACTCCTCAGATGAGGGAAACAATAGAAAGAATAAAGAAATGGGACTTCATCAGACTAAAGAGCTTCTTCAAGGTAAGGGAAACCAGGATTGAAACAAAAAAAACCACTAATAGGGAAAAAATATTTACAAGTTATTTATCCGACAAAGGGTTAATCTCCATAATATATAAAGAACTCACACAGCTCAACAACAAAAAATCAAACAACCTGATCAAAAAATGGGCAAGGGACATGAACAGACATTTCTCCAAAGAAGATATACGGATGGCCAATAGACACATGAAAAGATGCTCACCATCACTAATCATCAGGGAAATGCAAATCAAAACTACATTAAGATATCACCTACCCTGTTAGAATGGCAAAAATATCCAAAACAAAAAGTGACAAATGTTGGAGAGGTTGTGGAGAAAAAGGAACCCTCATACACTGTTGGTGGGAATGCAAACTGGTGCAGGCACTATGGAAAACAGTATGGAAATTTCTCAAAAAATTAAAAATAGAAATACCTTATGCCCCAGCCATCCCACTACTGGATATCTATCCAAAGAACTTGAAATCAGCAATTCCAAAAGTCCCGTGCACCCCTATGTTCATCACAGCATTATTTACAATAGCCAAGACGTGGAAGCAACCTAAGTGCCCATCAACTGATGATTGGATAAAGAAGATATGGTGTATATATATATACAATGGAATACTACTCAGCCATAAAAAAGATAAAATCGTCCCATTCACAACAACATGGATGGACCTTGAGGGTATTATGTTAAGTGAAATAAGCCAGATAGAGAAAGATGAACTCTGTATGACTCCACTCATAGGTGGAAGTTAAACATAGAGACAAAGAGAATTGATTGGTGGTTACCAGGGGAAAGGGGGTTGGGGGAAGGGCACAAAGGGTGAAGTGGGGCACCTACAACATGACTAACAATGTACAACTGAAATTTCACGAGGTTGTAAACTATCATAATCTTAATAAAAAGTTAAAAAAAAATAGACAAGTAGTTTAATGGAATAGAACGAGGAATCCAGAAACAGACCCATATATGTATATGGTCAATTGATTTTCAGCAAAGGTGCAAAGGCAATTTTGTAGAGAAAGGATAGCATTTTCAATAAATGGTGCTGAGACGATTATAGTGTGTTGAATGGTGCCCCCCTCGTCCCCCCCAAAAAGAGATGTCCACATCCTAATTCGTGAAACGCATGAATATTACCTTATTTGGAAAAATGGTCTTTGCAGATGTAATTAAGTTAAGGATCTTGAAATGAGAAAATCATCCTGGATTGTCTGGGTGGACCCTCAATCCAATGACAGGTCTTTTTATAAGAGACACACAGAGGAGAGACACACAAGGAGAAGGCGGTGTGAAGTCAGAGATAGAGAGGAGAGTATGTGACTACAAGCCAAGGGATGCCAGGCAGCCACCAGAAGCTAGAAGATGTGAGGGATGGATTTTTCCATAAAGCCCCCAGAGGGAGCGTGGCCCTGCCAACACCTAGACTTCAGACTTCTGGCCTCCAGAACTGTGAGAGAATAAATTTCCATTGTTTTAAGCCATTAAGTACGTGGTGATTTATCATGGCATCCTCAGGAAATTAATACACAGATATCCATATGCAAAAAAAAATTTTGATCCACACTTTGCACTATGTACAAAAATTAACTCAAAAATAGATGATAAACCTAAATGTAAAACCTAAAACTATAAAGCTTCTAGGATAAGAGAGAGAAAAAAATCTTTGTAACCCTGGGTTGGGCAAAGATTTCTTAGATACGATGCTAAAAGCATGATCCACAAATCAAATATCAATAAACTGGAGTTCACCAAAATTAAGAACATATGATCTTTGAAAGACAATGTTCAGAGACGAAAAGACAAGTCACAGATCGACAGAAATATTTGTAAATCACATATCTGATAAAAGACTTGTATCCAGAATGTATAAAGACCTCTCAAAACTCACAATGCAAAACCAAGGATGGTCCTTTTTTGGGGCCGAAATGGAGCTCAGATTCCTGTGAGCAAAGCACAGCACCCAGAGCACACGAGCCCATATGAAGCATTTATGCTTCACCTTTGTCTGTTATGGTGATGATCATGATTTTTTTCTTGTCCTTGTGCCTCAGTCGCTGTCAGCTCCCTGAGAACAGCCCCTAGCTCCTATAAGGATATATTCCTGCCTCAGGGCCTTTGCACAGAGTGTTTCCTCACTCAGCAACACTATTCTCTTCACTCTCCGCCAGTTAATTCCCCTCATCCTTCATCTTTCAGCTTACAAAGATTTTCTTTGACTTGCACCCACCCACCCCAAGCTCTGCCATCTAAATTAGGTCCCTGTTATTCTCTTTCATATATTCTGCCTCATTCTTTGGCATCATTTCCTTATCACAATGTGCAATTATGGTTATCTGACTGTGGTCTGTCTTCACAGCTGGTCGTGCCTGCTCCTGCACTGCTGACCCAAAAGTGAACTTGGACTCCAAGTGGGCGCTCAGCAAACGTGTGTGGGACAAGACAGGACATTCCCTGTACAGTACCCCGTATGCTCGGGCCACAGAGCCAGCATTGAAACTCCTGGGCATTCAAGTCTGCCACGTTCCACCCAGCGGGAAAAATTCAGAGCTGACATTAATTCAGGCCCCACATACATGATTCTTACTGAGTAAGACATCAAGACAATCTCGCCCTTTGTCGGAACTGTGGGAGTCTGACTTATGCGTCGAGAGAAGCCAGTCTAAAATCAGTCGCTTTTTGAAACCATCGGCTTAAGAAATTAAGGATTCTGTCAGCGTGCCCTGAATTCTGGGCCCAGCAATTAATTCCTCCTAGATTAAAGGATTGTTGTGTTTCTGATACATTATTATGCGGAGTGGGCTTGCTGTGAATTTTAAAACTTTAACCAGAATCCTCATTAACTGGGATCTTTTATCTGTGTGCAACTCGTAGAAGAGGCCAGTGGCTAGAAAGTGAGCTGATGCATCCAAAAGAAACAGCATTCCAGAGGGCGTCCTAATGCACATTCGTCCAGGCAGCTGTCCTCCTCCTGATGGTAACAGGGCCATTTACTCACAACGCGCCAGGCTCAGGCTGGACATTGGACATCACCCTGCTGAATTCTCGCCCGCCCTATCAGCTGGCCACAGTTATTATTATCTCCAGTTTACAGGCGAGGGGACTGCGGCTGGCGAAGGGAGGTGAAGAGCCCTGCTCAGGCCAGTGGGTGGCCCAGGTCTATGCGACCTCCTGGCCCCATGCTTGACCCCACCTTTCCCTGCACCCCCTTCTCCCTGGACAACAATAAAGATCGCTGTGCAGGAGGATGACCCCAGGCCTTTTTAGTCCGCTGTCCATCCAAGAACCATTCTGTCTTGCTGGGAGCAAGGCTCTGCTGGCCTGGGGAGTAGGGAGGTCAGAGGGAGTGGTGACCCAGGGAACAAGGGCGCCATCCTCTGGGAGCAGCCACTAGGGGCCGGGTCCAGGGAGGCCAGCCCTCGCCCTCCACCACAAGCAGGTTCTGTCTCCTCCCCGGCGTGGGTCCCCCTCCTGCGTGCGATATGTCTGGGAACCTCAGAGTTCTGTCCGGCAGGGTCCAGCCTGGCTGCACTTACGGGAGAACCTGAACTCAGATGCAACTGATTTATGGGAGATTTATGGGACCCCTGTAAGATGCTGGCTGAGGCACTCCCAAATGCGCCAGGGCCCCCCAGCATTTTAGCCACTCCCCCTTTTTAGTTCACACATAGCGTTTGTGCACACAGTTATTCCTTACCCCAGCCTACCCCTGGGCAGGTGGGGAATCAGTGCTCCCAGCCCAGTGTGGGTCCCTGGAATCCTGGGATCTCCTTCTAGAAACTTCACAAACTCAAAAGGGAGTGAATTAGGAGCTCCAGCATCCCTTAGAAAATGCCCCCTTCTAGTTCCCTACACAAGAGGCAGGGAGACAGGTGGTCCCAAGAGCAGATCCTGTCCCCGGGCTTCCTTCCTCCAGGCCCACGGCTCCAGCTTGTCCCTCAGTCACAAAAGCAGGGAGCTGCTCAGCACTTCTGCCCATGGTGGCGGGGGCTCTCAACAGCACAGAGCAACTAGTAATATTTTTCTCTTTAAAAAAAAATCTAAAGGAAATTCTGACACATGCTACAACACAGGTGAATCTTGAGGACATTTTGCCAAGTGAAATTAGCCAGTCACCAAAGGACAAATATTACATGATTCCACTTCTATGCAGTATCTAGAATAGTCACATTCATAGAGAGAAGATAGAAGGGTGGTTGTCAGGGGCTGGGGGAGGAGGGGATGGGTGTTTACTGGGTACAGAATTTCAGTCTGGGAAGATGAAAAGAGTTCTGGAGACCAACAGGGGTGATGGTTGCACAACAATGCGAATGTTCTTAATGCCACCGAACCACACATTTAAAAATGGTTAAAACGGCAAATTTTATATTATGTATATTTCACCACAATTTTTTTAAAAGATTAAAAAAATATCTCAAGTTTCCCTTCATCAAGCATCCTCCTATTTGCATTATGCCATTGAATCCTGGCAGCAACATTTGGAGGTAAATTCTACTGTTGTGCTCATTTTATAGGTGAGAAAAGCAAGATGAGGAAGGTGATATGGGAGGAGGAAGGTGACATGAGCAGCCTGAGGTCACCTGGCAAGTAAGTGGCAGGGCCAGTGTTTGACCCAGGGCCTGACTGCAGGGCCTGCTGTCTCCTGACCCAGGGCCCTGGCCACAAAGAGAGCCGCCCCTCCCTAACCACTTTCCACAGTTCTGCTCAGATTCCCCTGCCAGGGGACAGCAAACGGGATCCAGATGGTGGTTCCCCCACTGACCAGGATGAGGCCTAACTTGAAACCCCTTTGCCAGGGTTTCCAAATGTATCCCAGACTTCTGGAAGTGTCTGGTGCCCTCCTGGGAGCTAGTGGGGGGCAAAGAGGCAGCCAAGCCTGGCCACAGGCCTGGACAGTGACTGTGGGGGGTGGGTGGTTGGCACCAGCCTCCAGGTATTCCCGCAGGCCCTGGGAAGCCCAGTTTCCTCAGACGGGGAGACCCATCTTATTCCCGCCCGTATTAGTGGCCTGGGGCTGTGGTAACAGAGTACCACACACTGAGTGACTTAAACAGAAATTTATTGTCTCAGAGTTCCAGAGGCCAGAAGCTTGAAATCAGGGTGCCAGCAGGGTTGGCTCGCTCTGAGGGCCGTGAGGGAGAATCTGTTCCATGGCTCTAGCTTCTGGTGGCTGCAGGCATTCCTTGGCTTGTACATGGCCTCCTCGCTGTGTCTTCACATTGTCCTCCTGCTTGCATGTCTGTCCCTATGTCCAAATTTCCCATTTTGTAAGGATACAGTCATATTGGATCAGGGCCCACCCTCATGACCTCATCTTAACTTGATCTTCTGCAAAAATTCCATTTCTAGATAAGGTCACCTCCAGAAGTACCAACGGTTAAGACCTCAACATCTTTTGAGGGGACACAATTCAACCCATAACTCCATCCCATGATGCCATCACTCCTCTCAGCTGCCCAGGGGCCCAGGGGGAAGGTTCTGAGGGTCAGGGACATTTGCAGAGTGCAATGCTATTTCACCTACTCGCTAAGGCTTTATGAATTTATAACCATGCCATCCTGTGCTGAATGCTCGCTGTGTGCCAGGCACCAGGCATTCATGCTCCCCAAGCCTTAGCTGCGGGGTGGCTGTTAGCGTTCCATTTTACAGGTGAGCCGCACAGCTCTCAGGTGGAGGAATGAGGCTTGAATTATTGCAGTTGGAGCAAAAGGCAACGCCTGGGGATTCAGGAGAGGAGGTGTGTGAGGAGGTTATTTCTACCTCCCCCAAGTCTCTAGAATCTGGTGACTTTACTCCATCCCTGTAGTGACCTCCTGTGTTAGCGTCCTAGGGCTGCCGTCACAAATCACCACAAACTCGCTGGCTTAACACAGCACAAATTTCTTCTCTCACAGTTCTGGAGGCCAGAAGTCAGAAGTCAGGATGTGAGTAGGGCTGTGCTCCCTCCGAAGGTACCGGGGAGGACCCGTCCGTGCCTCTTCCAGCTTCTGGTGGCTCCAGGCATTCCTTGCCTCGTGGCTGCATCACTCCAGTTTCTGCCTCTGTCTTCACCTTCTCTTCTCTGTCTCTCTTCTGGGTGTCGTTTATAAGGACATTTGTCATTGGATTCAGGGCCCACCCAGGTAATCTAGGATGATCTCATCTCAAGATCCTTAATTTAATTACATTGGCAAAGACCCTTTGTCCAAAACAGGACACATTCACAGCTTCCAGGACCTGGACATAGCTTCTGGGGGTCATCATTCAACCCCTCCACATAGCCCCAGACACCATCCTCCAAGCTGGGCCACTGCAACCACCCCTGCCTCCGGGCCTCTGGCCCTTGCAAAGACCAGACCCATGTCCCTCCCCATTAAGTCTCACAGCAACTCCGAGGGCCTCAGGAAGCAGCCCAGTCTTGGCCCTCAAAGCTCCCAGGGCCTGGCCCTGTTGACCTCTCAGGCTTTGGGTCTCTCTGCTCCCCACCCTCAATCCTCTTGTCACACACTGACCTGCCCCTGGTTCCTACAGGGGGCCAGGACTGCTGTTGCCCTCAGGCCATCCCCATGCTGTTACCGCTGTTCCCTTCACCTGTGACTCTTCCCCTGGGCTTCACCTGGGTGGCTTTTGCTCATCTGCCAAGTCTAAGTTTAGATGCCCCTCTCCCCCTCCCTTGACAAAGGGCTGAGTCAGGGGCCTCCTCTCTACTCCCGCAGGCCCTACTCACTGTCATGGGTTATTGCAGTGATTATAACGTGGGTTCACCTGTGCTCGTTCTCTGGCCTGGGAGCTCAGCCAGGGCAGGGCCAGCGTCACCCACATCCATCTCGCTCACCACAGAATGGCCACCACCCACTGCAGGGCACAGCTGGTGTCCTGCGGTGTTTGCGGGTGGGCATGAAGGTCGGACGATGCGGGATCTTTCTCTCCACCTCTCACCCCTGCCCATCCCCCTTCCTCAGAGTCTTAAGGAACACTTTTTCCTCGCCTTTAAAATCTTAAAGTTCTGTTTGATTTTTTCTGTTTGTGTGTTTTGTATATGAGAGCTTTATTGAGGTGTAATTTACCTACCATACAATTCATCCGCTTAAAGTGGGAAAGTCAGTGTTTTTCAGGATATTCAGAGTTGTGCAACCGTCACCACAATCAACTTGAGAACATTTTCATCATCCTTAAAAGAAATCCTATACGCATTAGCAGTCGCTTCCCATTTCCCTCCAACTGTGCCTCCTCCCCAGCCCTAGGCAACCACTCATTTGCTTTCTGTCTCTATAGATTTCCCCATTCTGGACATTTCATAATGAAATCATACAATGCGTGGCCTTTTGTGACTGGCTTCTTTCACTTAGCATGATATTTTTGAGATTCATCCACATTGTAGCATGTGTCAGTACACCATTCCTTTTTATTGCCTGAATAATATTCCACTGTATGGACGTACCGCTGTTTAGCCATTCATCAGTTGATGGACATTTGGCTGTTTCCACTTTTTGGCTATTGTGACGCTGCTATGAACATACGTGTGCAAGTTTTTGTGTGGATATGTGTTTTCGTTTGTCTTGGGTGTACACCTAGGAGTGGTGAATGTGTTTTTTCAATTAAAAATAACTTACATTTTAAATTACAAACATGACACGTTGGAGCCCACCAAAGTGGCAAAGTAGAAACAAGAAAATATAGACACGCCCATAATCCCCACAAAGATATCTGGTGTCCAGCCTTGCAGACATCCCTTTGCTCATGGTTACAAAAATGGAGCATGAACGGGCAGCCATGTGTGTGAACCTGTGACAACTCCCGACCCTGCAGAAGACAGCCTGTGTCCGGCTTCCTTTGATCCCTGGTGTGACTGTCAGGAAAGAACCACTGAGTGCGGACTGAAAATGAAACCAGCTTTGACTTCAAAGAACAAACAGCTAAGAGTAAGAGAAAGAAGGAGGATTTTCAGCTGCCTGGAAGCAGGGGAGAGATTTTCAAGGGGCAGGAACCTCTCTGTCTTTGGCAGAAAAAAAAAAGAAGCATTAAAAAAAGGGAGGCAAAAACCCCAAACAAATACCTGGGGAATCATTATATCAAGGTGGATGGATTACAAGTGATTTATTTTTCTTAAAAAAAATTAACAATATTATATTATTATAATGTTTTAACCCTAAAAAGATTCTAAGAAGGCTTTGAGGGATTACTGATGAAAAAGAATGATTTTCTAAAACTCAGCAGTTCTTAAGAAGAGTGCAGCCAAAAAGGCTTTCTTGCTCCTTTATAGTTT